AGAGCCGAAGCTGCTTCTTGATTGCAGTGAGATCTAGGGTTGTCAGTGGACCAAAGAAGAACAGAGCCAGTTCATCACCAAGTGATACCACGAGAGAGCAAGCCACAGAGACAGGAGCTCTGCACAGGGCTGTCCTGCAGCCAGGCTCCTCACGAAGGTGCTGTGAGGCTGGAAGAGGACAGTGTGGAGGGCGCATGACTCCCAGACCCTGCAGGGAACCTCTGGAAGTTGAAGGGAATGATGTTCTGCAGATCAAATAATTGTCAGATTTGGCAAGATCTGTTGAAACCTTACATCCCGTTAGAAGCTGAATGTTCTTGCGCATAAATTCCCTTGTCTCTTTACCCTCTTCTTGGCCAAGAGCCAGTATCATAAAAATGAGCAAAAGAAACAAAAAAAGGAACCGAACTTAAAGATGAAGGAAATGAGAGAAAGACGTTAACATAAGCCAAAAAGTAAATGAATAGCGTACACAAGAGAGTCAGAATAGTTAATTCACCACAATCTCAAAAGAAGACATCAGCTACTCCCAGATGAACTCTGATAATAAGTACAAATGTTCAAAGGGAGGACTCCATAATTACAGAAATAGTAAGTGAATGATTTGGCAGCGTTTTGAGAAAGATATTTATAGAAATTAAGGACATGAATCAAGGTGAAAAAACTAGAACAAATCTAAGTCAAAACTTAAGGACATGGTAAATAGGCTCTAGGAGAACAGATCATTTTAAGTGTGTGGTGCAGATGTGTTGGAAGTTTTGCTGCCCGACACACAGACCTCTTTCTGTGTCTGGAAAACACTTCATTTTATGCTAGAATGCTCACCCAAATTCAGGAGCAAGACAGTGGTTTTTTTTCTTCCAATCAGCACCTACAGAAGATTGAATGTAAAAGAAATTTTTTAGAAAAGTCAAAGGCAGGTCTGTGGAGAGAGTCCAGACTGAAAGGGATGGAGGAGTGAGGAGGAAGAGGGAGAGGAAGAGGAGAAAATGAAATCCAGAATACATATACGGACCATAGTCCAGTAATCTCACAAAAGTACAGTTGGTGTCCAGAAGAGGAAAGAATGAGCAGAAGGAATATTTGAAGAGATGAGTAAACAGTTTCCCAAACTAATATAACAAGATATAACCCACTGATTCTAGAAGCTTAGTGAACTCAGCAGCAAACAAAACACAATCCAACAAATGCAAACACACCCCTACATGCATCACAGTCAGATTCCTAAAAAGGCAGTGTATCCTGAAGGATGCTAAAGAAAACAGAAGTATTGTCTACAAAGAAGCAAAAATTAGACTTAATTTGACATGTGAACAGAAGTTCTGAAAGACAGAAGACAGTATATATTAAAGAGTGGAGGGAAGGAAGCGGGACACTTCTGACAGGAAATTCTCCAGCTGTGCAGCAAGGACACTGCATAGCATTGTTACATGTGCTGAGCAAGTATGAGAATAAACACAGTGACATCAGTGTACAAAGCCAAGACAAATTCCCAACCTGTGTAGCACAAAAACAGGAGGTGGTAGAGGACTTACATCATCCTAAGATAAAGCTCAGAAAATATTAGTAATCATAGTCATTTAAAGTAAACTGTAGTAAACAATGTTCAAAACCAACTAAAGTGTTAAATATATAAAATCAGTAAAAATAGGGCAGTATCTTAGCTTCACTCTTCTTGTTGCTGAGACAAAATACTTGACCTAAAGTTAAAGGAGAAAGGTTTATTTTGGCACAGTGTTTGTAGAGGTTCCAGTCCAAAATCCACTGGCTCCAAGGCAGCATGGCATGAGAGAGGGGTATAACAGGAGAAGCAGTTCATGGCATGCAGAAGGCAGCAAAGCAGTGAAGTCGTGAAGCAGTAGCAAGTTATGGTAGCAGCCCTCTTTCTGTCCCTTATATTCTATCCAAGCTACACACTCTCAGGGTGGGTAGCAGTCACACCTAGGGTGGGCCTTCCCATTATACACACCCAGGCCCGTGCCAAACCAATCAGTGGACTAAGTAATCACACACCCCTAATTATACCATCACTCACCTCTGAAAAGGCCCACCTATGACCACATGAGGCCTTGGGGGGTGGGCATCTAGACACAAGCCTAACTGGCAGACAAAGAATTAAAGAGTGAATTAACGAGTAAATAACAAACTAAAACCAAATATCTAGACCATCGATTTAGTTTAAATATATATATGATTATGCTAAATGGGTCCATTTACATTGCAAAGACTGTCATGCTGAATAAAAATATAAGATACAACTATAAGCTATGAGAGGTATATTTTCAATATCATGACAACATTACAGATGCTAAAAATATTAGATAAAGGTATAAAAGGTTTAAAAAAAACTTTAGATCAATATGTTTGAAATTTACATTCACTGAAATTGATAAAGCCATAAAATACATATCAAAACTGGCACATGCTTACAGGCAACTTCTGATAAATCCTCTGTCTGTTTAGAGTACTGAATACATAATGAAGAACATGTCCACCAAAAACACTGGCCTCCAAAAATTGAGAAAATAGAAGTAGTTTGCATTTTATGAGGCTAGCAAAAACCTGAAATAAAAATAGGGACATTATAGACAAAGAACATTATAGACCAGCACTTTTATAAACAAGGAACAAATACCCTGAATAAAATACTAGTATTCATAATCAGTGATATACAAAATGGGTACTGCATCTTGGCCAACATTGCAAGAACATATGTTTACTACGTATTTGAAAAACTGGCCAGCGTGTTTCATCATATTAATAAAGGAGAAAAATATATGTAGTTATTAGTTGTATACAAAGCAAGCACCTGATGAATTCATTGTCTACCCATAAGAAAAGCTTGCACTATCTTATTTTGATAAGGATTAAAAAACAATCTGTAGGTGACATTGAGCTCAAGGGTGACATGTGGGATACTTCCTAACACTGAGAATCAATCATCGAAAAGTTGGCTCTCACCACTGCTGTCCGACCAAGTCCTACAGACAGAGCAAATCTAATAAGGCAAGAAAAAAGTTGTAAAAACTGGAAAGAGAAATACTGTTTTTATTCAACAACTTTGTGTTTGTAGAAAATCCAACATAATATGCAAATTACCAACATTAATAAGTGAATTTAATAAAGTCACAGTTCATAGTTTATATAAAAAACAATTGTTATATATTCAAGTAACATTTGGAAAATACAGTTTTTGTGAAATATCAGAAAGCTGTAACCTTTTATTTTTGTAAAGGTCTAGAATAAATGGTTTATACTTTGCAGGTCACATATAGTGTGTGCTACATAGTCTTCATTTTCTGTTTTGCTTAACAAACTTAAAAATGTAAAAGTAACCCTTAACTCACTAGCCACACAGGCCTCTGGCTCAGTTTAGCCTATAGGTCTTAGTTTGTTGTCTTTTGATCATAGTGTTAAAGAATATTAACTATCCAGGAATTAACATGAGAAGTTACATATAACTTCTACACTGAAAACTAAAAAACATAATTGAGGGAAAGAATACAAATAACTGAAGGGAATACTATGATTCAACAGGAGAGTCTTTTCAAATAATTACCCTTTGAGAAGTTGGTATCTATGAAAAAAGCTAAGGACTTAACATTTATCAACAGATATCACTGAAAAAGTGAGGGAAATGACCCACTGAGGGGAAGGAGTTATTTGCAGTGCAGATACTCAACAAAAGACTGTTACCCAGGATACATGAGGACTCCTACAAATCAGTGAAAGGTACACATCATGCTAAAAATGTTTAAGAGTCCACTTAAGTGGACTCTGTATTTTAAAAAGGTTATCAGAAGGGCCCAAGATATATAAAAATGAGCCCAGCATCACTAATCACCAAGGATATGCAAATTAAAATCAGCATAAGATGTCACTGTCAACACACCTTGATAAATAACATGAGAAACAATCCAAGTGCTTTCCTGGATAAATAGAAAACAGTGTCAGTTTGTACTACCATTTTGAGCTTTGGCAGAACCTGATAAAATATTTCTACCCTAGAACCAGCAACAGTGTCCTACAGCAAGGGCATCAGTTCTCAGGGAAATCAACATACTGTGTATGTCTGAGAAAAATATAAAAATGCTTATAGAAACTTCATTCTTGAGTTGGGTGTGTGGGCACATGCCTGTAATCCCAGCACGGGGGCTGGGGATGGAGGATTCCAAGCTCATGCGAAGTTTAGCAACTTAGGGAGATGCTGTCTCAAAAAAAATCAAGAGGCTGGGAACATAGTTCGGTGTAGAGGGCATGGGTTCGATCCCCAGCACCACCCACATGCATGCATGCACACGCAGGCAGGAAGGGAGGGAAAGAGGGATGGAAATTGTCACATCATGTAATGCTGCACGTGGAAATGAGTAGAGTACCATTGGACAGTTTCATGTCATACTCACCAGTCTTAGGCTGCACAGTAACATCCAGATGCAACAAAGCACAGGCTGAGTGAGTCTATATAAGGGTTCTATATAAATAGCAAGCGTCTGTGGAGATAAAAATCAAAACAGCGGATACCTTTGGTTTTCACTCTTCTGGATCTAGGCGGGGTTACGTAGGCAAGGCATAGATGAAAATCCATCCGTGTGCTCAGGGCACACTTGATCTCGGCATGCTGCACGTCAGTGTGTATTCATGCTGTGTTCCGGATTCAGAAATGAAAAAGAGGATCCACGGAGGCTGATTAGAGGAGGAGTCAGCTCAAAGACACTGGGAGACGATTCACTGAAATACCAGTATGCTGCAGTGGCAGCACTATACCCTGAAACACCAAATTAACCTGAAAGGTGACCACACCAAGTTTCTGGATCATTGAAAAGGGGACGTGTGATGGTTGATGGGTTGTGTCATCTTGAGTAAGAGAAGTGCAACTAAATTGGCTCAGCAGTTCCACACTCTAGGGTGCGAAAGAGCCACCCTAGGGCAGCTTTGTCACTGGATGGTGTGAAGGGGAAGTGAGGGAGGACCGACCTGCTTCTGTTCTTCTGTTTCTTCAGAGGAGCTCCACATTGACCTCACCTTGGCTTCCGGGGCAGAGTCTTCAGCTTCTGGTGTAGACTCTGCAGCCTTCATTGCCGACCCATCGGCCTCCTGATGTGAACTCCCCTGGGACACTGCAGTCAGCTCCAGACCTTCGACTGGATCCTTCAGTCTCAGTGTGCAGATGGACCCCCTGGACTCTTCACACCTGACTCTGGGCAGCTATTGTAAGCCAGTCTTGTAAATCCTTTTATATTTGTATAGCTTGTGTTTTATCTGTTTCTCTAGTAAACACTGACTGATACAGGATGCAATGCCAGCATGGCTGGTGCACGCCACCCCTGCCCCTGCTCCTCTGGGGAGCAACCATCATAAGAGCATCCCAGATAGCTTGGGACTGATCTAGTGGTGCACAGGTTCAATTCCCGGGACCAGCTGTATACTTTGGCCCTTGTCACCATCACCCACCAGCACTGGGGGGGTGCTGCATCCCTGTGGCAGGGGAAACCCTCCCTACCCCAGGCAGCAAGAGGATAAACATGGCGAAGGGCACCTCCTGAGTCTGGTAGTAGGGATCCACTGCTGATCACATCCCTGGAGATGAGAGTCAGTGAGACTGATCAGTAGGTCCATAGTGAGCTTTTTCCTGTAATTTCCACAAAGACTGGAAAAATCTGAGCAAGAAATCCTGAACAATGACCATGAGGGGAAAGAGTCCATAAAGCATGCCTGAGGACCATCTCAGGTTCTGCTTGCTCGCTGGAAAGGGCAATTCTGGAGAGAAAGTCAGTTCCGGATTTGAGTGCAAAGGAAAAGACAGATCAGACTGAAGCAGAAAACTACTGGTGACAAATCACAAGTGTGCCCAGTACAAACGAAAGCAGGAAGCATAGGGCATTGGTGCTTACTGCCAGGAAAGGTATTTCACATCCTCCTCACAAGTTACTTGAGGTGTTCACTTTGCAGGACAGAGACAGAAGATGGCAATCAGCCATGCCCAAAGGGCAGCCTGCATTCGGGAGGCTGGCTCAAAGAAAGTGACACCCTTCCCACAGAGAGAAGGGAATTGGTGTGGTTTCCTGCAAACATACTGCAACGAAGGCAAGAAGAAACTATGTGGACACTCAGGCTTTATTGCATAGTGCTCACATGGGAATTGCATATACATTCTCTTGTTGGTGTGTTTGACCTGGGATCCAGCCAGATTTTCTGTGTGTGTTACTTTTCTTTCTTTTTGCATTTATGAAGGTTACTTATCTACTCCCTATTCCTTTTCCTCAATTGCAGTTGCTATATATTCTTATTTTTATGTGAATCTCCAACTTTTAAAATTCTTCTTTTCAAGGTTTTTTAAAATATAGTTTTCTCTTTCAGAGTCTTTTCTATCATCTCTTGTATTAACCTTCTGTCCTCTCTATTCTTTTTGCTTTTATTCTACTTAGTCTCTTGTTTTCCTCCGTTTCTTCTCAACTTTACTGGTGCACAAATACATCAACAGGTTCTGACAACCTTGAAGTTTTCCTTAGTCTCTATTTACACCTCCCTCCTTCGGTATCCCATTTCTGCCTCCACATATGTTCTTAAAACCCTCAAAATGAACTTGTTAAAGACTCCAACAGAGTAAAGACTCCAGCAGAGTCTGACCCCCCATCTAATGGTTTTTACTTGTTATTTTTCCTATAAACCTCTCCTCCTGCTGACCTATCATCCTGCATCTCTTCCCTTCCCTTCTTTGTCTACATCAGAGACTAACTACTAAAAATAATATAGTATAGGTTGTAAATGGTAGTGATAAAGGATGAAAGTGTAATTGTAAGGTTTAACACGTGTAAGTGACACATGATGAGATCTGTTGATGCTATTATGACCAGTGGTAATTCTCTCCTCACGACACAGTGACGGGGTCCAAAGCATTTAAATTAAATAGCTGTAAGAGCGAACGCTGTCTCTGGACAAATAAAGCCAGGAACACCGCACTATAAGGCAGAATATACCTAAAAAGATCTTCATATCAACTCTAGTCTCTCCTCACACTATTTGGCTGCAAGCCCCAGCACCAGTCACTCACACACACACACACACACACACACACACACACACACAGAGGAAAAAAAGGTACCAGGGGCTCAAAGTCTCCCAACATTCCCAAGACAGAAACGGGGGGCACTGGTGGGGAGAAAAGCAAGTAGTGGTGGGTGGTGGAGCTTTATAAATTGATATTTACCTCTAATGAGGTAAAGAAACTTGGTGCATTCTAAGAGGACATGAGCCAAAGGTTCATGGAACTGTCATGCAGACTGACCAGTGTGGATATAGAAGAAACAAATAAAACATTGGAAGAGCTGACTAATATTGTTTAAAAGATGAATGACAGATTTATCAAAGATATTCTCCACAAAAAAGATGTCAAACAGAAATACCAGAATAAAAAATTGTGTAGAATTCATAATTTACAGGAATGACCAATGTAAAGACACAGTTTCTGAAATAAAGGACAAAATGGTAAATTGAGACAGATTGCTCAGGGAAGCTTTAAAAATGAGAAGAGGACAAGAAAGAGCCATCCAACAGCTACTAGATGGTACCGAGACCAATTTTATCATAAGTGGAGTTAGAAACTAGAAGACAGCATACATAGAGTAAAAGATCTGTTCACAGAAAAGAAATTCTAATAGAAAACTTTCTAGGTATGAGGAAAGATTTCAACATATAGGCAAGCAAGTCTTACAGAATACCAACTATGATTAAAAAAGTAGCTCGCCATGACACATCTTGTTCAAAATACCACAGGCCCAACAAGAAGACAAATCTTAAAAGCTGCGAGAGAAAAGCAAGAAGTCACGTATAAAGGTAAACCCGTCGTGAGGAGCAGACTTATCAACATGAACATTAAAGATTAGAATAGCCTAGGGTGAAGTGTTTTAAGCCTCCAAAGCAAATAACTTCCAACTCGGATTAATGTACCCTGCAAAACTTTCTTTAAAATAAATGGAGAAATAAGGACACACCATGAAAAAGAAAAACTTAAATGATACATGAAAGCCCAATCAGCCCTACAAAAAATACTCAAGAATATCCTAGACACAGTCAACAAAGCCAACAAAGCCAAAAATTCAGCTGGAATGAATACATTAAGCAAGGGAAATAGATAAAATAAGTCATCTACAGAAAATTCAATGACAAGAATAAATCAATATCTTTCAGTAATATCTATCAATGTTAATGGCCTCAACTCCCCATTTAAAGATACAGATTAGTAGATGGGGTCAAAAAAGAGAATCTGAAAATCTGTTTCATTCAAGAAACTCATCTAATCAAAAAATATTAACAGATTAAAAACAAAAGGATGAAAAACAGTATTTCATGTACCGGGTCCCTGAAAGCAAATAGGGATAGAAATTTTACTCTCAAAGTAAATGTCAAGTTAAACTGATCAGAAGAGGCTAAGAAGGTCACTACATAGTACTACCTAAGTGAACAATCCAACAGGAAGAGGTAACACTTGTAAATACATATGCACCAAATGGGGAACACCTAAAACAATCCATCATAAAACAAATACTGCTGGACATGAAAGATCAAATAAATACCAAGACAATTACAGTGGGTGATGTTAATAGCCTACTTACACAAGAGATAGATCAACTAAAAAATCAACAAAGAGATATCAGAGGTGACCTGTACCTTTGAACAAATGAATTTAATAAATATCTACAGAATGTTCTACCCCCACTACAAGTGAATATATATTCTTCTCAGCAGCACATGGACCTTTCTCCAAAATAAACCACAAACTAGTCCACAAAGCCTGCTTAAATAAATACAAAAGAATTGAAATCACACCATGTTTACTATCAAACCATTATACATTGAAATGAGAAATCAATCACAAAGAAGCCATGGAAAAATTTTAAAAACCTGGAAACTTAATAGCACACTCCTGAACACCCAGTGGGTCACAGAAGAAATCAAGAAAGCAATTGAACAACTTCTGGAATCAAATGACAGTGCCAGTACAACACTCCAGCATCTATGGGACATAATGAAAGCAGTCTTTAGAGGGAAGCTTATTGCAGGCAGTACTCACATTAGAAAAACAGAGCAACTCGGTCTAATGATGAACCTCAATATACTAAAAAAAAAATTAAACCCAAACCTGGTTTAAGGAGGGAAATCATATGGATCAGGGTGGATATTAAAGAAATTGAGACTAAAAACACCCAAAGACTCAATGCATTGAAGAGCTTGTTCTTTGAAAAAGTAAATAGGTAATGCTTATCCAAACTTAATGAAAGAGAGAAAGATCAAGGGTTCAGATCAGTGCGATTATAAATGAAAAAGGCAACACTGCAAAGGACACCATTAAACTTCAGAAGTTAGCAACTACTGGGGAAAATTGTACTCCAACAAATTAGAACGTTATGAAGAAATGAAAACTTGTTATATGAATTGAAGACATAAAAATTCTGAGCAATTCAATAATAAGCAATAAAATTGAGACAGTAATTAAAAACAAAAAGAAACACTTGTCAACTAAAAAAAGCCCAGGACCTGATGGAATTCACTGCTGAATTCTACAAAACCTTTAAGTAGGTTATAACTCTATTGATTCTCAAATTCTTCAATAAAATTGAAAGTGGCATGTTTCCAGACTCTTTCCTGGAAGCTAGCATCACTGTGATCTCCAAGCCAAACAATGACCCAATTAAAAATAAAAACTACAGGCCAATCTCCTCATTGAACATGGATGCAAAAATCCTCAATATGATATTGGCAAATAGAGTGCAATAAATCATCCAAAGAGATCTACACCCTGATCAAGTAGGTTTCATCATGGGGTTGCAAGAATGCTTCAACATATGCAAATCAATAAAGGTAATACATCACATAAACAGAAACTGGGACAACGCCCATACGATCATATCAATTGATGCAGAAAAAGCATTTAACAAAATCCAACCATTCATGATGAAAACCTCTGAAGAAAATAGGTATAGAAGGGCCTTATCTCACTCTGATAAAAGCCATCTATGACACACCAGTGGCCAACATCATAATACATTGGGATGAACTGAAAATTTTCCCTCTAGTGTCAGGAATAAGACCAAGATGGTCACCATCACTATTCTTGTTCAACACAGTGCTTGAGACATTAGCCAAAACAATCAGGCGAGAGAAAGAAGTAAAAGGAATATGAATAAGAGTCTCAAGCGGACATGTAGGCCAC